CTGTGGGAAGAGCAAGTCAGTGTCAAAGTGCAGGGCTTGTAGCTGAAGGAAGAAACAATAAGACCATTCTCCAAGTCCCTTGCTATTTAACTTCAGAACTTGACCTGCTTTGCTGGCAGCGTGATGCTTCTGTAGCGAATACATCATCAGGCCTGATCTGATCGTGCACCCACCAGCTCTTGAAATTGCCTAACTTGTTGAAAAGGAACACCAAGAGGGAAAAATGCTCTACAAACTCACAATAATACATTCATTTCTGAAAATGTATTCCTTTGCTATGTATGTGTCCTAGCGAAAGCCCAGCAGTGTGTGTGGTCAGCCATCTCAGTGGGATACTTGAAACAGACAGCAAGGCCAGCAGAGAAGTATGCCTAGGATAAACTAATAAAAGCGGAGATGAGCTAGCAAGAAAATGGGTGAGAGCTAGTGAAAAGGACGTAAACAGACAATCGTGGGGGTGCTGGGAGAAGGGAGGCGTGTGTGCCTGCGGGCTGCCAGACAGCCCCCTCTGGGGCGATCAGCTGCCCTCGGCCTTGCCATCTCTGCGGTGTGCGAGGCTCAGGGTGCCGAGGCAGCCGCCTGGAGCTGCGTTGCCAGTCGGCAGAGGGCTTCGCACAGCCAGGGCAACGCGAACCCTGTGTTACACATCTCCTAGGGAGCAGACCCGGTCTGCATGTTGGAAAGAGGTACTTCAAGAGGACCCAGAGCAGGGCACCAGCGAGTGTTGTGTGGCGACAGGTCAAACTGAGACCCTGGCTGGACTGTACGTGTGTGGCTTTCTGACTAAATGTCACTGCCTGCTGCCTGCTCTTCCTCTGCTCTTCTCCTGTGCCTGGTGGCTTGCCCTGCAGGCTGGCAGCCTCTGGAGTCGGGGGTGGCAGGACAGGACACAGGACAGACACCGCTTGCTCTGGTTTGTGTAAAAGGCCATCAGCCCCCTGGCCTCAGACTCCCTGGTGCAAAGACTTCTGGAAGCCTGGTCGGCAGGTCTGCCTGGAGCCAGCCTGCTGCAGGGCACCCCAGCGCTTGTCTCTGCTACCCGCTCTGTGCGCTGTGGCCCACAGAGCCATCTCTGCTGGGCTGGGGCAGGGGGCCTTGCTGCAGTGCTGAGGGAGCAGGAGGGGATCTGTGCCACGTGCCTGCAAGGTGCCTGTTGGCTGCGCTGGGCCCAGGCCTGGGTTGGTGCCACATGGAGCAAGTGGTCCCCCAAACCCTGGGCAGGAGAAGGCAAAGAAGATAAAGCAGGGCCTTGGCTGAGGGCAGGGGGAAGGCGGCTGTGGCAGAGGCTGGCAGAGTCCCTGAAGGCCTCTCCTGCAGCCGAGCATCAAGATCCCTGGGACCCCTGCACCTGCTGCCCCATGGCACAGCCAGTTCAAGGGGGCGGGAAGCATTCAGGATAAAGCCAGCAGCGTGGCAGCTGCATGCCAGGAGCCTGTTCTCTGTGTCTTGTCCTGCAGCCATCCTGCCCCTCTCTGCCACGAGCTGCTTGGGTCCACTGCCGGCAGGATGCGCGGTGACTTTCTCTGGTGGAGACACATCCTTTCCCTGCTGTGGCCCTGCGGTGTTTTGAAACTTCTTCCTGCCCCAGGGCTCACATCCGGCTTCCCTTCACTGCCTGGGCATGCTGGGGGCTGCATGTGGCCCTGCAGCTGAGAACGACCTCCAGGGAGCATGCTCCCAACTAGTGGGAAAAATGTTCTTCTAATTGTTTTGGGCTGTTCCCAGAATAACCCTGCAGTGGGCGGAGTGGTGGAGGCCTTTTGGCAGAGCTTGGCAAACGCAGCTCAGCGCAGGATGGTGAAAGGCCATCTCCTGGTCAGCTGGTTTGAGTTCTCGGCCACCATGATGTTAGGTGGGTGTATAGGTCAAACTTGTGCTGTTTAAAGAGAACTTCGTTAAATTAAGGAGCAGCATTCTATAAATACTCCTATTAGACAGCTTGTTATTTTAATCTGTTCTTTCACTGTTTTTTTTAAGTTCAAAGGTGCGATAGAAAAGAAACGAAACTTTGCAGATGCCCTGGGGGAGAAGTGCAATGTAACTAATCGTCTGTATGATTGCCCAGCCAGAGACTCCCCTCTGATCTGTGCAGAGTTTATAAAAACATTTATCCGAGTGTGCAAGCCGATTGCTGCTGCTCCATATCTGTTCCAGATGCATCCTCGATGCCACCTGCGCAGCGGGAAGCTGCCCTGAGCAGCTGGCCTGGTGCAGCAGAGCCTTGCTATGCTGCGGTGGCCGTTGGGCCAGCCGCCTTCGAGCACTGCTGCCCCAGCCCTCCCGCTGCGGAGCAGGGTGCACCACGCTGCCTGGAGACCCGGCAGTTTGCTTCCTGGGCAGATGCTCTGCCCACCCGTCCCCGCCGGCTGCGGGCATGGGCTGCGGTCTGAGCATTGGGCAGAGGAAGGTGCCAGGCTCGCTGGATGCAGCGGTGGTGGGCACAGGGAGCTCAGCTCGGCCCTCGCTGTCGTGGGTGCTGCTCTGGGCCCTGCACTGGTGCCGCTTTGCGTCTCACCCCATGGCTTCTGCCTCCCGCCCTCTCGAGGCGGAAAGCCCCGTTCTCCGTGCTTAGCTGCTGCCGCCGCCATAGAAGGGCTTTGTGTGAGCCGGCACAAAGTGAGGATTGATGCTGTTTCCCCTCCCCCTGCTGTGCCGAGCAGGACCGCAAACGGCTCTGACAAAGGTGCCCTTCTTCCTCTTGCCGAGGACAGGGTGCTGTCAGGCTGAGGGGGTCTGCCCAGCGGCACCACACTGCGGGTGGAGGCACCCACCTCCCCTCCTGCGGTGCTGCTGGGGACCCCCAGGGCCCCGTCCTTGGCCTCTTCCAGACCGCCCCTGCTGCTGAGGTCCCTGCTGGGGCAGCTGGGCCTCCTTGCAGCAGGCCCCAGCGTGGTGAGCCGCGGCCTGGGCAGCATTTGGCAGCAGGTCCCCAGCCCTGCCACCACTGCTGCGGAAGAGGAGGGAGTGCCAGAGGCTCCCTGCCTGCCTGGGCTCTCCCAGGGTCCGAGAAGGGGCACAGCCCCTCTGCTTCCCCCCCTGAGGTGTCGGTGCTGTCTCGGCTGCTCCTGCTCCCCCTGCCTCTGCAGAGCGAGCCGGTGCTTAGTCAGGGTGGGTTTGGTGGAGGCCAAAGGCACCAGGGGAGCGGATCTGCTTCCCTGCAGTGCAGCTGCGGCTGTGCTGGAACCTGCCACGCGGTGTTCTTAGCGTGCTGGGGAATATCGTCACTTACCTGGATTTCAGTTCAAAATGGCCTGAGAGAAGCTCGTATCAGCATTCATTATCTCCCAGCTCCTCCTGATGTGTAATAGCAAGTCATCACATTATTGAGAGTGACTTGGAAAAGTTTCAGGAAACATGCATCTGTATGAAGAACAGATTGTAAGTTCTTCGTTAAATTCACATTATGTTTGCTGGGTACTGCACATTTTAGGCAATGGCTTCTGGATTATTTGCAAGGCATCTGGATGAGCCGGTGGAGCAGCGCAGGCAGCGGTGTGGGGTTTGTCTGGGCTGTCCTGGGTGCTACCAGCGTTCCTGCGGCAGAGTCCCCCGCTCCTCGCCCGCCCTGAGGACAGGGAACCCGTCGGGAGGGGAGGGTGTCGTGCTTATAGTCGTGTTTTGGAGGCTCAAACTGCATAGAGAGCAAAGTGGGTCTGCTTCACTCTGTGCTTGCTGGATGCTTGTCTAGGTGCCGAAGCAGAGCTCTCTTCTAGGTTTGGTTCATCGGCACTGGTGTTTCACCATTACTGGTCGCTAGCTTCTGTTGTTTTGGACTCCTCAGGTAGCCTGGCTGTTCATGTGACATTATTGTTATCTACATAGGGCCCAGACTTGCTCTTTTTTATTGCCTGCAGCACGATGTTTGTTCTGACTGGGCATTGTGAAGTGTAAACCCAGGTCCCACTGGCACCAGCACTCTCCTCTGCCTTTTCTAGAAGCAGTAAGTAACTAGCTATCTACATGGCCTAGAAATGCTGGGGTTTAATTGCTCTGAGGAGGGAATTGAATTAGGTAGCTCTGGTTCACGGCTTGTCTGGCTGCGCAGCAGTGACGCTTGTTTACACAAAGCACTGCCCTTTTATCTCGGGGTGCGTGGGGGGTGGTTTCCTGGGGCCCTGCCTGCAAGCTGGAGAAGACTTGCCCTAACTGGCTGCCTCTGCAGGAGACCACATGCTGAGGCAGTGGCACCTTTTCCCATCCTCCTCCTCAGCGAGTTGTTTCAGCAGCTCTCTTGTCCTCTCCTCCTGCTTCCTGCAACACCATCTGTCCGAAATTGGTTGGTCTTACCTGCTTCTATCCCCCTTTGTGTATCTCCTTCCCCTGAAGTACTCGGTGATGTCTCCCTTCTCCTGGAAGATGCTCAGGCCTCTTCAAGGCCTCTGTCTGCTTTGCATCAGACCATCCTGTGCTGCTTCATCTGTGTTCCCCTGGCGTTCAGGCTCTCTGCAGCAAGCGCGGTTTTGCATACAGCGCCAGATACATCTGTGCTGCTACATGAAAATGGTCTGGTTCAGCAGACTGAAGACGCATGGGGGAACTCCCAGCGTGTCTGAGACTCAACGTGGATGGGGAGCCTCCCAATGAAGCCATTAGGAGCAGATTTCTTGCTGCTTAAAATGGCAGAGCTGCTTCAACCAGCCTGACTCAGGGGTGAAGTTTGCTCTCTGTTTGGGAGGGAAGGAAATGAACTTGGGTTTTCCCATCATTGCTAGATGGAGACCAGCCCATGCTAAGTATCCTGGAAACAACAAAATTAATCTCAGAAGAGGCTGCTGGCCCAAATTCCAAACCTATTGGGCATTGCACAAATGTACCCTCTTATCAAAAGCAAATGAAAGTGCAGAAGGTGTGTCTGGCCTAATCCTGTGTTTAACTTGGCAGTCTGTGGTGTGTCAGCACAGGCGCTGTGGCATGCATGCAGGCTCTCGGTGCTCTCTTGTCTTCTGCTGGGGTGTGCTGCCGAGTAGCCCTTTAATTCTGCTCCTTTCTTTCAGGATCAGTCCATGATGCCTGAAGTGCGAGACCTCTCAGATGCCTTGCCTGACTTGCCGATGGATCCCATCACGGGTGTTGGTGTGGTTGCATCCCGGAACCGAGCACCGACAGGTTATGATGTAGTAAGTAGAGCTATTTCAGCTGCCGTTGCTAATGCTTTGGTTCTACACTAATGAGGCTTTACTTTGCTGGCAGAAGCATCTCTTCCAGAGAGGGCTTGCCTTCAGACGTGTGCTTTAAGAAGTAATTTGATATCCAGCTGCCCACCTCTCATCCCACAGCACTTAGTGCTTTCCCTCAGTGGAGGTTTGTGGGTGCAATCGTGCTACTTCATCTGTGCCACTCCAGAGGAGCATAATTACCTGGAGGAGTGGTTTTCAGAAACAGCTGGCCACTGTGGCATGCAAATTTAATAATCCTAGTAACATTCACCCTGAAGGAGTCCTAAGTATTGCACAAATTATATCTCTGAATAAATGGATCCCGCATCAGCTGTTTAATCCCACATATCAGCACTGCACAATGATGATGAGAAGCTCCAGAATGGGAAGCATAGAGTTTTGCATCCAGCTGAAATTGCAAGGATGATTTTGATGGACAGAATGCAAACCTCTAAACTAAGCTTTGGCAGGAGGCTGGGCAGCAAGAAAAGGCAGCTGGATACAGCAGAGAGGAATATGTGAATGGATAAAGGGAGGTGACTGTTTAATGGCTGCTCCTTCCTTGGATTAGTTACTGCGTAACCAACAGCATGATTTTTCTCCCCATAGATTAGTGTCCCAAACAGTGACATATCATAAAATACTGACCTTGCAGCGCTCTGTATGGAAAGATTTGGCTCATAGTCCATCTGCTGACCTTTCTGTATATCCTGCTCCAACTGGGCTACATCACATCTTGGGTTTCCAGAGTTGCACAGCTTGCATGGTTGGGAGTGGAAACCAGTTGACTTGGAGCTTTGCTCACACCTTTTCAGCTCTGGATCACTGCATACCCTGTTCAGTGTGAGAAGGAAGAAAATGGATCAGGCTGAAGTAAGGACATGAGGGAGGGAATTGGGAAAAGGCTCCTTAAAGACCTGGAAGGTTTTTGCATTTACTGCATTTTTCTGAGTGCTGATTACCTGTGTGAGCCAGGCTGTGTAATTAGCTGCTTGCCCTGATAAAGGAGCATGGGACAATGTGAGAGTTGTGATAACAGAATTGCATTCTGCCTAAATGGCTGGGCAGAGAGAGCGCTTACCCCAGATAGCCTGTCTGTGGTTTAATAGGGAGCTTCAGCGCTAACACAGTTTAAACTAAACAAGATAAAAGAGTCTTCCTGTGGCTTAATCCAATTACGGTGGTGGTGTAATAATGCTTGTGAATGTGGGTCGCTCTCTCCTAGGGGGCACAGAGAGGAGGCTGCCTTTCCCCTGGTTCTTCTGCCTTCCTCTCCATTTACAAGGAGCTCTCCTCTGACCCTGGGGCCAGCAGTCCCCGCTGCAGGCCGTGGGGAAGTGCCTGCCGTCTGCAGTTGTCTTACTCTAAGCATGGCTTCCACACGCTTACTCCTTCAGCCTCGCATATGGCAAATCAGCAGCCCAGCTCCGTGCGTGGATGCTGTGAGCTGCGGTCGGTGTCCTTTCCACCGTACAGCACCTGCGGTGATGGGGCTGCTCTGGGTGCCACCCTGATGTGACAGGATGTCCTGGTGCCCAAACCTGCAGGACGGTGGCACGCAGGGCTGTGCTTTTCTTGCCTGGATGTCTGGGAAGGTGGCTCCTCTGCGCAAGGCAGGGCTGTGGGGCAGCGCGTGGTATGCGGCATGGCCGCTTCCCCGTAACCTCTCTGGAACCCAGTCTGTCCTATCTGAAGGCATGAAGCCAAGTATGCAGAAGTGCACTTCTCGGTGCAGTGGATGAAGTCATGTTCTGAGACGTGGGCAACCTGCAGACTTGGCTGGTCTCAGGCTCTGTGTTTCTCCAGATAGGCAATTTCCCTAATGAGACACCAGCAGTTGATTGTGGCTTCAGGGTGTAAAGCCCTGATGAAGGCAGCTGTGGCAGCTCCAGCCTAGGAGTGTGCTCCCTAAAGTCCTAATAGTTAGAGGTTCAAACCACACCCTGAAAAGGAGAACCACTCTCATCGTTTGGGAAGCGTTAACACCAGTTTATCTTGGGATGTTGTTGTAGTCCCCTTAGGGATCTGATCGGTTTGTGCTTTGCTATAGCATCCTGCAGCATTCAGTTCCACAGGTGGATTCAGAGTTGTGGGGCAAAGTATTTCCTCTTACTAGTGATGAATTCGACACTGTGTAGTTTCATGGATGATTTTGAGTTTTGTGATGAAGTACCCAGTTCTCTCTTTCTGAGACAGCTGTATTTATTTATAGGCTTTACCCAGTTTCTCTTTCATTCATCTCTTTTCTCCAATAAACAACCATTGCCATATTCTTTTCCTTCCTTTTCCCTTTGCTCCTCTTTAAAACAAACAAGCAAAGGCATGGGTGCTTTCAGCCCAGGTGTAAGTTAAATGCCACGGGGAGGTCCCAGTCCGTTTCCCAGGCTCGGCGTACTGCCTGGCTGGAGGTGGCAGTGCGGCAGAGCCCAGGGTACAGACCTGGGGGAATCTTGGCGAATGGTTCAGAGATCTTTTTCCCTCAGTAGTTTTTTAATTACTCAGAAATCTCCATTGCCTTTTGGGTCTGCTTAGAAAACAGCTACTGACACTTGTAATGACTAGCCAGGTCTTTTAACAGCTAAAGCACCAAAGACTTGATTTTGCCAAAATGTACAGAGTGTGTCTGAACTTAGGTTCCTGAAAATCTGCCCAAACTGGCAAGACTGAGCATATGGGTGGGGAGGAAAGGGAGGAGAGGAGGGAGGCGGGACGCCTGGGGTAGGAGAGGTGGGGTTCCCCTGCAGCCGCGCTCCTTGCTGCCGGCTGAGGCTGAATGCCAGCTCCACGGTGGGGTTTGCTCTGGGGCGAGAGCCCGAGCATGCTGCCCCCTCCGGGGCCATGCTGGAGCAGGGACGGCCCTGCACACCACTGGCGGTGGGGCAGGCGGTTTAGTGGGCCCGTTTGCCAGAGGCCTGTCCTGTGGTAGCAGTGACCCCATACTGACTGCTGGGCAGCAGGTAGATCACCCCACACTTGGAGGGGTGGGCTGGGGGACACCTTCCTTACTGGGTGTCACTCCGTCAAGTCCATGTGTTTGTAGCACATGATTGAGGAGTGTCGTCCCCCAGCTCCATGAGGAGAAGGACCCTTCCCTGTGCCTGGGGCGCTGGGCGCCCCGTGCCGGGTGCCATGTCCTCTGTCCCGCATGTTCCTCGCCCCTTAGCCAAGCGGAGGACTTGGTGAGCTGGGGCTGCACAGCGCCCATCCTGCTGGGTAGGCCTGCCTCGGCCTCTCCAGGTCGGCTCCCTTCCCATGTTGCCGCACCGAGGGCGCGCTGCCATCGTGAAGCAGCGCTGCTCAGGCACAGCTCTGCTTTGAGAGGTGGTGCGGATCCTACCTGCCTGCAGGAGCCCAGCAGATGATGTAAGAATTTTCCTGTTTATATTGCTCTGTTTTCTTTCCCCATGAGTTTTCTGACAAGTTAATGCATGCTTACATTCTCCAGGCTTGGAAAGAGTTTTC